GATGAGTGTAAATATTGATTTATCAAAGCTTTTGGGGGGCTTCTGAGGAGAGGATCACAAAACACAACAGTTCTTCCACCAAGTCTCTGTCTCTCCATTTCCCTTCCCCTCATTTATAGCCAGATGTCCCCATAATTTTCCAGTGCCTGATTTCTACTTTTGTCCTTAGCAAGCTGAAAATACTTTTACTGGCTGTCATTATCTCAATTATTTTGGTCCTTGTTCAATTTCAGGTAACTTTAGAAGTCTGCATTTCAGCTATCCTTGCTTGTGGTTTGAATGACTTAATTGATCTGTGAGCTATTTTAATTCTCATTCTGGCCTTTAGAAAATTCTCTCCAGGTCAAGTGAGGGAAAACGAATTGTGTGAAAAGTCACAATATTTACCAAGTAAGTAAATATTTCCCTAAAACAAGTGAGATATTATTTTTTAAACTGAAAATATCAAAAATTGCCCTTCAGTTTTATTAGAATGTTAAACCAATAGAACTACGTAGCTGGAATGGATGAAAACTCAGAGGTCCTTGGAACTTCTGAAATTTCCCACCACTGACATATTCTTCATTTTAAGAAGTACCTTTTGCTAGCATTTAGGAGAATATAAGCATGATTCCACTTCTCTCTAACACTCCAAATACAATCTCAAAAACTCTCCCCCTTAAGAATCTGAAAGCTGTGATTCAACTATTCTGTAAGGACTATATTTTGTAAACCGCAAAGCACTAGTGTATGGGAAAATCTCTGTAATCGTAAGGTAAAGTGGTTTATAGTGGACAAATACCCACAATAGATGTGGTAGAGGTGATCTGTTATTCTGGGGATGGTAGAAACATATCTGAACTATTTCATTACTCCTTTCAAGTGGAATTTGACAACAAAATAAATGGACAGTTTGTTCATTCAATTTACTTGAGATTTAAATACAGTACAATATGATGATGCCTACAATCAGAGTTGTATTTGACTTTGTAAAGCCCTTTCAGTCCTTGTCACAGGGCCAGAAGCCAGCACCTAAAAATGAAGGATGAATGAACAAACATACCACTACCCTAGTCACTGCAGTCATTTTCTGGAGAGACTCAGTAAACAAATTTCCAGGGCTTTTCTGCATGGCACTAGACAGGAACATAAAATACACTGTGTTGTTGTCTCCATTTTGGGAGATAGTTTAACAAAATGGACCAGTCTTTGAACTAAAAACCTTGTTAAAGCTCTAGCTATGCAATTCACAATCTGCCCTGCTATGACCCACTAATTTCTAAATTCTGAGTATCAGTTCCTTCATCTGTAAGTATCAAATGATACTGTCCTCGAATTGAACTGAAACTTCTCCACGGAAGGTTGATATCACCTCCTTTCTTCACATTGTTTTATGGTAGAGATAAAATAAAAGAATAAACAGAACTAGCTCCAATAAAATTTGTAATGACCGCTGAAGTTACAGTACATATATTATATACTGCTTGTACATTCTGCTTAACTGAAGATGCATGACTAATTCCACAGTTTATACAAATATTAACAGCACATTTTGATAGGTTTGGTTATCCTGTGATTCCAATAACAGTTTCCCATGGACAGAGAATTTCACATTTACTTATTTGTTCTGCTAGTCACCCAAAACTGGGTGATATATTTTCCAATTTACCAGAGACCAATGTACTTTGCAGTTTACCTCTGCCGCCTTGGTATAATTATAAATGTCAACACCTTTCAGGGACAAACACCTCAGTTGGATGATGAATTACATACCCACCTTATTTAAGCATTAATATTGATGTTCTACTATATTCTTTATGGAAGAGAAAGCACAAAATCAGGTAAGTAAACACACACACACACACACACACACACACACACACACATTTTGCCCTATGAAAGTTTTAACCTCTATGCTTTAGCTAGGTGTAGTGTAAGATGACAAACTCCTCTTATTTCATGAAATAACTCATCAACCTACACGTAAGAAGCAAAGTAGAAGATTTTGTACTTGAGGGATTTGAGCTTTCAGGAACAATGTCTTTGTGGGGTTTTTTTTTTTTTTGTGATCTTTTTGGAAGTTTCAATTGAGCTGAGATCAAAAAGATAACTCAGAGTTACCTGGACAATGAAACAGAAACTAAGGCAGAAAGCAGCTTGTACTGAAGCCCTGTAGTAGGGGCGAGCAGGAACACAGGATTGAGAGGTACAGGGAGAATAAGTTTTGCACACACAGAGCAGCAGGTGGTAAAATGAGGCTGTAGAGGTAGCTTGAGTAAGGACAGGAACTGAACTGCTTTAAGTCAAGGGCCATCTGATCAGATTTGTGTTCATAAATATGGCAATAAGAGCTAGAAAAAAAGGAGTAGATGAAGTGACAAGGGGGAAGAATAAATTCTGGGATTTGAGATGCCTAGTGTCTTGAATCATCAACATGGAAGTAATAGAAGATCGCTACAGTACGTGAAGGAAATGAAAGTGACAGATGACTTTGTGAGTGGTCAGTGTCTTGCTAATAATGTTAAGACACTAGCTATAAGATAAGACTCCAATGTTTAACACATAAAGGAGAAAAGAGAGAAAGTAGAGAAAATTTTGTGGGGAAGAAAAGGGCAAATGAAAAGTTCTTTAAAAAGAATCAGAGTAGAGGTGGCCAGCAAAGTAAGAAAAAGTTAGATGGTGAGTTGATCAGTGTTGCAGTTTGGAAGTCCTAGAGACCCTGAAGACTGAGGCTGTGTACCCTTGTCTAACTAACCTACCTACAACATAGATTTATGAAGAAAGGTGGAAATTTACAGAAGCAAGTTAAGCCAAAGAGAGCTTCTAGAGGTTAAAAAAAAAGACAGTAAGTCAAATGATTTGAGGAAATAAGAAGCTAAGAGAGCTAAAAGATAGGTGCTGGTTAAAGCTTGGTACCAGAGTGAATAGCATCCGGCACAGACTGGTGGGGCAAGCAGACCATTACAGCAGGCAATCAGGGAGATGAAGACAGGATTTGGGTGGAATTTCAAAAAGACACCAAAGTCACTCAATCTCTTTTTTCAATAAGAGAGAATAAATGATGTTTTTAGATTCTGATAGAAATCAAACAAAGACGATGGGCAAGAGAGGAATAAAGAGAAGAGAAGACCTGAACTTCAGAAAACATTAGCAGATGCAGAAAAGAGACCAAAGTCAGCTAAGGGAATGTACAGTACCATGCCTTAAACAAGAGAATATACAAGATGACTTTCGTTTATTTGTATGTTTGTTTGGCCTGGTTTACATTAGCTGGTTTATTTTCATCTGAACCACCCCTAAAAACTTATATGGAGAATGTGTGTTACAGAATATAGCTAGGGGGTGACACATAAAAGAATAATACTTGAAATGTCCTCCATGCCAGAAAAACATGATAATTCTCAATCACTTTTGCCTTTTAAAAAAAAGTTACTCTTAATACATCTTCTAAGAAAGAAGTAGTTGAACTGTAAACACAAATGGTATTTTTTATTCATTTTGCAACTGCAAATGACTAGGGTGTTTGATAAGGCTTCTGTATGTGTTAAAACTGAAGTCTTGCAGAGTAAGTAGACTTGAGTAGTTATTGGCCTGAAAGCATCCCATTGTGTTGAAAGTGTAGAAAAGAACTTGTTGGAATACAAGCACCATGCTGGATGTCCCTGTATCATAGAGAAGAGTTGGAAACATTTCTCTGGAAGAAATTAAACTGAAATATTTTTCTTAAAAAATTCTCTCCACCAGAAAATCCTAATACAGAACTCAAAATAAAACACACATGGGCATATGCACACATGTACATTCACATACACACACACACATTTTATCACTGTTACGTTAATAAGAATTAATGATATCATTGAAACCTGGAGTTTGGTAGATGTTTATATAATTTCCTTTATCGAGGTATGGTTTACTTTTTTAAGCTACCTGTCATTTCTGGTTTAAATATTTTCCAGGAAATTCACCCACACCAAATAAAGAAGCAGTTCCCTTCCCTTCCTTGGGTTTTATCTTTCTTGCTTGAGGACTGATATTCCTTGAGGCTATGTCCCAAAGTGACTTGTCCTACTGTGCCTAAGTGATAGCAATCTGAGTTTAGCTCACAAAGTTTATTTTGACACTGCCTGTGGACACAGAGTGGTAATACATAGGGAGGTTAAGTTTTCTGCTTTTCTACTTCATTGGAAAAATAACATTGTTTCCTAACAAATAAATGATAAAGGTATAGGGGAGAGGATAGCAATCATCATACATTTTTCTAGAGTTCTTACATTACAGTATCCAAAAGTGCTAAAACAGATGACAATGAGGGCTATAAACATCCCTTACAAATAATAACAAAACTTTATAAATTGATACGCAGACACATGTAGAACTCAAATGCAATCCACCAGGGTGAAATATGACAAGTGGTTCATTGAACACTACACAGAAGGTAAATGTAGTGTGTATTTTCCAATCACAACTGGAATTTTAAGTGAGTGGAATGGAATAAACTCAGTTTGGAATTTGAAATAAATTCAGTTTGGAATGTGTCTTGAGACTGAGGTTTACATAAGAGTTACACAAACCTCTCAGAGTGAAGCATGAGGCAAGGTGAAATGTTCCTGGCATTTGGAGTTTGATATAGACTTCTGAAGGACCAGGGCATAGACTTTTCATCAAGAGCTATTTGTTTCTAGTTGGAGAAAAAAAATGTAGATATTTATATAACATTGTGGGCTAGAGTAAAATTCCACCCGATACATGGAGTTGTGTACAACTTCTAAGACATGCTATTATTAATTGTGCACTAACAATACCAATAAAATATTCACATTGAATTGCCATCCTTTCTTCGCTTGATACCTGCTCCCATAGTTCTCAGGAGCCTCTCAGATCATGCATACTATAACTAATACACAAAAATGAGAAGTGGTTACAGAAAACTCAAGGAGAGTAAGGTAGAAAGAATTCGGAAGTAACCACTAATAGCGATTGTCTTACTCTGAAGCCAAAGCTCTTTTCTTAAATTACAGATTCTCATGAGTAAATTTGCAGGGGAATCATAAAGAAGAATAGACTCTGTTTACAAAGCTGAAGAAGCAACTGGTAGCAAAAATTGCATCTTTTCCTAAGGTAAGCTTAAAGTCACAAAAAAGACTTAATCTGTAGAGTTAAAAAAACTTGCATATTTCTTGCAAGCTTATAAATACCAAATACCGTGTTTAGTCGGGATTTCAGGGAGTTGCAGGATCCTAGACTCTAAAAGAGGAGATCATCTTTTAATTACCACCCTGAAAGAGAAAGGAGACTCAAGAATGGAAGGGCAACTCCTGTGTTGTAGGGATGTGCAAGAGCCATTCTGCGGCAGTAGGTATTCAGAAGCAAAGCCAAAGTGTTCCTGAAATGACAAAGAATTGGGTGACTTTCAGGAATGCAGGCTCTGTGAAGTTAGTGCTCAGAGTCAGTGATATGCTTGTTCTGAGTGTATGCATGTTCTGAGTTTTTTGAAGGGAAAGGGACAGTGGTGGTGGTGGATTAATCACTTACGCTGTGTTACACCTTTCCACTTTAAACAGTAGCTTATGATTATTTAGCCCACATTTGCTTTCAGGTAAAACCAAGATAAGTCAGCAAATATTTGCTTTTTCTGAGAATAATGTTCCTACCAGCATTACAGTTTTAGGGAGCAGTTCTATAATGTTTACGGTTTCCACTGCTTGGAGATTTCTGTATGTTTATTCCTGGATTAGACTCAAAGTAAGCTGATTTTGTCAAGCCACCCATTTCATCTGGCGATTTTAGTATTGTGTTGTTGCAGCTGACTTGCATGCATAAGGAATTACTGCAGTTAACAGCTCATAGGAATGTTTTGGTTATGAATACACTTTCAGCATGTCTCCAATGAAGGTAAGGAGGAAAAAAGAACTAAATGATCTACTAAAATGGTAATTTTTAAAAATATGTAAGTGGGATTTCAGTCATGGCTTGGTTGTATCTTCTCTACCATAGTAGAAATATAGCTGGTGATATAGCCTGGTGGTGCTTGCCTAGTTTATACATCTGGGCTCAGCTGCCAGATCTGCAAAAATATAATGAAATAAAGCTGCAGACATAGTAATGCAGCGACTCAGAGCAGAAACAAGAGGTCTTTACAAGAACAGTCAGATGAAGCAACCATGTCTGTCAAACCACATCCTTCCTGCCGCCCATGGGAAAGGGATGGTATTTGTGTTGAGCTCTGAGTACATGCAGAATAGATCTGTGTGTATTTCCATAAATAAAAGGACATTGTGTGTATTTGGCACCTGGAATGGCAAGAGGAGTTGATTGCTTCTGAAAGCTTTGTTCCAGCTCAAGAGCCAGCAGTATTTGTGAAGCACTGAACTAGGATCTGGGTACTAAAAATGCATATGCAGGAGGCCTATGATAGCATTAAGTTTAAAAACTAAGGCTTGTGAATTATGTTGCATCTATGGTTTGGGGGAAAGGATCTAACATATCATACATCCAACCTGTAGGCTAGCAAATCATGTTATTGTAACATTTTCGTACACTGCCTGTGATGTCAGTGAGAATAATCAAGTCTATAGTATACGAGAATATGCTTTGCTAAAACTAAAAACCTTGCTCCATTTTTCTTTGCTTATATTGTTCATATGTTCCTACAGTCACTTGGTGGCTAGTGAGTTTGTCAGTTATTCAGGGACAGAGTAACAGCCTTCTCCCCAAAAAGCCAAAAAATTTAAAATAGAATTACAAGTTGTACTAAAACATGTTTGAATTATTAAAATGAAATAGTAAATCTCTCCTGTCTTTTGGCTCCAATCATTCCATGTTGCAAATACCAAGAGAACAAAGAACTAAGCATGAACATACTTTAAATGCTACTGATATTTTCAAATACTTAATCTTAAACCTTATTAAGGAGTTTTCTTCATCTGTAACAATTTGGAAAATTTGAAAATTTTTCCTTGTTTTAGATTTTTAAGTTATTCTCAGTTTACCTGTAAAACATGTGAACAAATATGATTAAAAGGGAAGATAAATACTGAGTAATTCATATTGAGAACCATATTATTAGATCTCTGTGCATGTAACCAAAGTACTCTTTGGTACTTTGAATATAAGGCAAATAAAACAAACAAGCAAACAAGACTTTTGGTTTTACTTAAATATACTCATTTCTGCATGAATAAAACTTCCTTCTTTGAATAATGGTGGCAGAGAGTATTTTGCTGAAAAGTAAGATGCATTTTTAAATTTATTTTTGTTTAATTTACATTCATCTAAAAGTATTAGAGAATATATTTAAGCAGTGATCTTTATAAATTATGATATGGGAATGTGCATTGTGAAACTTTAAATGACAATTCTAGTCAAACTATCCAATCAAACTAAAGGATTAAATGTGTGTCAAAAGTCCAAATCCTGTCCTATAGAATGATACCATTTCTCAAAAACCCTAGTGAGTTTTAGTTCTTAAAAGTGGTCCCGTAAAAGAGCCTTGTATAATTCTGTGAGTAGAATTCTCTTCATAGGGAATGCTGCATATAGATGAGGCCCATGGCAGATGCGAAAGGAATGTCTTCTCCCAGTTCACCATCATAAGAGTCACCTCTCACCCCCACCCCTGCTCCAATGGATCTGCTTAGATCTCAGTCCCAGCTGTTTCAGGATCAAGTTCAAACACATTTAAGGGATAGACATAGCATTAAATCTTAGGCACGGCATTTCTATTGAGTAATCATTCATGTTTCCATGGCTTCTAAAACATAATAAAGACCATATATAGTATAGATGACATAAGTGCATTTCATAAACAGGTAGTACAAAATGCCAAGCTGAAAGTCAGTCAAGTAGGAGTTTATATTTTAATAGGTACGGAGAAATTCCTCTCCTAGAAGGTTGAAAAGGACTAAAAAAATATTTTAGAAATTTTCAGTCTAAATGAAGCGCATTCATTGAAATGGTTCCTACACCAAAAATGCATCATGCAGTAATCAATATGCATGATCTTTTTCAGCATGGAAAGGACAAAAGAAGTATTAAGTGTAGAATCTGGCTGACTATTATATGCACTTGTGGGTTTTTTTGTTTGTTTGTTTGTACCGGGGATCAAACTCACAACCTTACTCTTGCCAGACAAACAATTGTGCCGCTGAGCTAAATTCCCAGCCGTGTGCTTATGTGCATTGTATTCTCTCACAAAACAACTGGAGAAAACACAAACAAATCAAAAGAATGTAACAGTGTGGCATGATAAAATAAATGTTGCAGAACTTTAGGGAGGGGAATCAGAACCAACTACCATGGAACATGCCTACTATCTCATAATCTCAGCTATCAGGAGGTTGATGCAGGAAGATCATGAGTTCAAGCCCATTTTAAGATTTTAAGGCCCCAACTTAAAAAAAGACCTTGAAAACAGGTAAAGTAATCCCCTTAAAAAGGCAAGGAAAGACATTCCAGACCATCGAATTCTAGAAGGAAATGAAAAAATAACTAATTTGCCAAGACACATTCAGCTTTTGGTTGAATGGATAGGCATTTAGATACAATATTTGATCTTCTCCTGCAAAGTCATTCAATTTCTTTCATGTTCCAGCCAAAGCCTTTGAAGCAATATAACTACTTGATTTTGCCAGTAATTTAAAAGATGTAGTCACATGGAAAATGCTAAAAGGATTGACTGAAACCAATTTCTTCCACTCTTGTGAAATGTGCCTTTGTTTTAGTCTGATTGATTTCATAATAACAATACAGAAAGAACTTTACAACTATATATGTCTTAGTGCTCAGGGTCATTCATGCCCACCACTCATATATCTAATTAATTTGAGCAACATAGAATATTACTGTCCTCTCCTCAGTAGTATTGCTTCACCAAAATTTTTTTTTCTTTTGCAAGTTAATACCAAAGGGCATTAATAACTGAGATTCTAGTCTTGGCATCATTGACTATTAGATTTCTGACTTTGATTGTTGTTTGACATCTCTTAGTCCTAATTTTCCTTCACTGAATTATTACTTATTAAGTACCCTGAATAATACAAGTGCATTTTATGCCATGCAAGTACATTATAATTAATAAGCTACATTGTGTTAATTATAAATAGTGTATTTCCTTTAGATCTAAGTTAACATAATCAAGAGTTGTGATTCTTATGACCATTCAACCAAATTTTTTGTGGCTTGGACAAGCCATACACTTCTTGCAGGAACATTGATAAATGATTGTACTCTATTGAATCTCATATTCCTCTTACTTGGGTTCCATAAATGCAAGCATACTACAGGGTATATTCCATTCATTTCAATTACAGAATTAAAAACAGAAAAGAAAAGAAAATCACACAGACAATCTAGGATTGATTGATTGTGTCACCATTCAATTTGTTTTGATTAAAGCACAACAGTTCTTTGATGGTGCATGTATTGTATCTAGGTTAGCATATGGAATCAAAAGAGACGTGCATTTGTTCTTTTTAATCTGCTTTCCTTATTTCCTCTGTATAAGGTAAGGTATACTGCCCAGTTAGAATGTCAATGATATCTAAACCTATATTCATTAGGAAGAAAGCACTTCTTCCATTTATTTGTCTATATCCCAGTGTCAGTACTCATTTACTTGCCAGGAATATAAAATACATGAAATAGTTCTGTCAATCAGCCTTAAAAGGGAAATAATATCTGTAGACACTCTATGGTAAAAAGAAAACAAACTGAAACAAATGCATTCTAAAATAAAATGAATTGTACCTTTAATTTTTAAAATGTTGATGTCTTGTCAACATTTTTCTGTAGAAGATCTGTAATTATACTAACCTTAGTAAGAATTAAGAGAGCCCACTCTAGCCTCACCATGGTCTAAAAGAGTTCACATTTGTAATCCCAGAGAAAAGTTATCGGAATTCCAATAAGTAATTCTAATCTACCACTTCCATTGCAACACACAGTGCAAAAAAGAGACAAACACATATCTGTAGTTGTGAGAAGCCAACAGAATTCTCAGTCCAGTTAGGACGATAGCTACCCAGAACAAAGGCCTCAACCCAGGACCAAACCAGAGTTTTATTAATTTGTGAAGAGGGGAGTGGCTTGGAGTTTAGTGACTGTGAGAATGGCAGAAATTACGTGAATATTCTGAGTTGGACTAGGTAGGAGCACAACATCATCTCTGCAACACGCAGAGAGAGGTTTGCAGAAAGAGTAATCTGCATAACCCAGTTTGGGTAAGCATATTGTGTTTTTAGTAGGTGTTTCAGCTTTGATGTCTGGCCTTCATGTCCTGAGCATCACAGGTTCTTGAGCCTCAGTCTCAGCCCAGTATAGCATCTCTCAGCCTGGCTCCTCCATTGGGAGCTATAGGCGGGCATCACTGACTTGTCACATTGCTTCAAACGCTACATATCAGCTAGACCCATATGCACTGCTTAAAGCCAATTGAGGAGGTAAAGTGCTACCATAGCCAGCTCTGTACATGCCAATACATGGAATTAGGGCCAGGCTTAGCCAAAAATGAAGGCAAATGGTCTTCTTTCAAAGACAGCCATCCTGATGGTCCTCCACAAAAATCACATGAACAGAATTGGATTTTTGCCTTACTCTAGACTTGTTTTCAACTTTCTTTTATTGACTCAAGGCCCGGAAAATCCAACATCTTAGAGAAGTGTTGTTGTTAGAATCGCCCATAGAGCTGTTAGTGAAGTGTATGAGGCAATTGATGATAATTGCTGTTGTACATTGACTATGCTATGCGTCAGTCACTATTTAGCACTTTCTCTGCTCCATCTCACCACACTAATCACTTGCAAGATATAAGGTGAGTCAATAGAATCCACACTTTTTGAGGAAAACTTATGTGAGGTGTTTCTAGAACTACCCTAGCAGTTGACATGGGTATCATA